AAAGGTTTGAGCAGAGTGGGACCATTTTGATCTCATTTTCGTTTTTATCACCTTGTTTCATCCTGTTTCTTTCAGATTTCATTTAAAATAACTCTGTTTTTACTCTATGAAGATATGAAATATCGTTTTATATCAATTTATATTAAAGTATATATTGGCTCAGTAAACCAGTGTCAGATTATTTCAATAGGCTGCCTGCAGGGATATTTAATCTCCAGCAGGTGTCAGTATTCAGCCACATAGAACCACTACAGTTTGGTAAAGTGTCTTTGTGCTTTGTGATGTCCCACTGGGCCGCTGTAAGGAATTCCACAATCCTTTGCATGACATGATGTAAAAACAAAGTCCAGAATATTACTTTTATTAAATAAAACTTATTTTTTACAAAGATATAAAAATAGAAACATTGAAGCATTAAAAAAAAAACACAGCAGCTCTATTCACACAAAACAGGACAGTTTTTTAAAGGCTACATTTAACTGCCATAATGCCAGTGCCAATATTTGATAATGCATTCCAGATTTCCTTTCCTATCAATGACAGTGGTCAAACTGTAGGGCTACTGAAAAAATTAAAAAAGTCAACTGTTCTTTAATTTTAATTTAGTTTAATATGGGAAAAATGTCAGAATTCTGAGTTAATTACTCAAAATTCTGACTTTAATTTAAAAATATTTATTTTAATCTCAGAACCATTTCTTTTTTTTCTCAGAATTCTAAATTAAATCTTAGAAATCTGAATTTTTTTACTCAAAAAATGACTTAAAATTCTGAGAAAAAGTCAAAATTCTGAGATTAAAGTCTGTTAGGGTAATTATGATTGAAGATGTGTGAGTTTATCAGACCCTGCTATGGGCTGCCTGTTGCGCGTCAGAACTGACATTTTAATCTAATTAGGACAATTCCTCCGTCTGGATATCCAGTTATTACAATTAGTTACAGAATTCAGACTTCATATTATACTGCAATAAAATGTAAAAATCAGTTAACTTTTTTATTTTCTCAGTGGCTCTAATCCGTATACTGGGCAACTAATAGCTACAATCAGAGGAATCTGGATCCTGCCCAGTCTCTCTTTTTTAGCTTATACAACAAAGCTTAACAATTTGGCATCTTATTGCACGGTTGGGTCGTATTAATGCTGGCTGAACCCAACATGTTGATTGTCTTTTGTTCCTGATCCGTCCGGTTTGGAGCACCTGATGACTGTATGCAACAGTACTCTATAGAGACTCTGTGCTGCTGGATGTTGCTTCAAAGATAAAGAAGATAAATATTACAGTTTTCAGCATTTGTCAAAAAATACAGATTAGATGTAGTTTTCAAAAGCACCAAACAAAACACAGCATTAGATGGAGAATAAAGAGCTGCTGCTGCAAACAGAGCTGGAGATGTTCTGCTTCTCTGAGTATTAGAGGACAGACAGGAAGTGCATCGTGGTGTTATGCCTCTCCCCCACCACTAGAGGCAGCAACACAACCGTTTCATCTTTAAAGGCAGATTGTCGTTGGCTCAGAGTCAGAAGGTCCTTCGGAGAGTCTGAAGGGATCCAGAACATGAGTGGAGATGAGTCTGACTGGTTAGCAGAACCAGAACAGACAGAACGGAGTTAAAGGTCCACTAGAGACGAACATGTGGAAGAGCTCAGAACATCTGGCTCTGCAGGATCAAACCGTGTTTCAGTGGTTGGCTTTTCACCAATGGGGACCAAGGAAGGGGAATCATTGCTCTGCAGCAGACTGATGACCTGTCTGAGACAGACTGCCAGAGATAGGCACCGGCGCCATGGCGTCCATGGCGGGCAAATTGGTAGAAGATATAGTGACGGATGGAATCAGAATCATTTCAGACTGCATTGGTGTTTTTTCCTCGTCGGCGTCTGCATCAAGAGTAGAAGGAGTACGACACTTTCGTTTCATTTGAACAGCAGCAAAGCTGATCAGAACCATCCCCAGAACAAACACACTGATGATCAACGCAATGATTGATTCTCTTCCTAATGTCATCACCCCAAACTTCGGACCTCCTCCCTCCTCATCTCCCTCCTCTGGTGTCTCCTCACCTGCGGAGTGGTAACAGGTGTTAGCATCAGGCGGCGTCTGAAGCTGTAGGTGGATCTGTGTTCTGCTCACCTGAGACGGTCAGGTTGATGAAGTGTTCAAACTCAGAGGAACCTCCTCCTGGGTTCCTCATCACTATCCTGCACCGGTACGTTCCTGCATCCTCTGAGCTGACGTTCTGAAGGAGGACGGAAAAGTCTCCGTCCTTGAGGGACGAAGAGTCTCTCAGCTCCACTCGTCCTCTGAAGGACTCATGCTGGTACTGTCTGTAGGGACGATTTTCTCTGAGGAAGAAGGCAAAGTCGTCTTTCTGGAGGTCATTTCTGGTCCAGGTGAGCAGGGTGAGGGTTCCAGGGTGGGACTGCTGGCACTGCAGAGTCACATTCTGTCCAGGTTTCACCATCAGCTGCTGAGGAGCTGAAGAAGAAGAGATTTACATCAAGCTCTGCTTGTTCTGTTCTTTGTTTTTGTCCAATTTAAAGATGTTAACGTCCTGTTTTCTGTAAGCATCAGGCAATCCAAGGGTTAAATACCATTCTGTGCATTATTAAAAGCTGAGGATACGTGTTGTCGACCGTTTTAGGATAAAAGTTGGTAAATTGCTTACATTAGATTGTAAAAATGTAGATTTTATCCTTGATTGCGCTGGTTTTAGCATTAGCATGTGTTCAATCAGTGAACACTATATTAAACAAAGGATAAATTTGCTAACATCGTAATATTGTCAGGAGTTAAAAATCAGGTTTTGCTGATTTTTTCTCCAAAAGAAGTGAAAGCTTGATAACATCGTGACAGATGGAGCATGTCTCTGTGGATGCCTTTCCATTAACCATCAAATTTCACACAAGTAATTGATTAATTCCCTAAACGCAAACACTACACTTCAGAAAAAACATTTTTTCGACAAACTTTTTACACTTTAATGAGGTTGTTTTTCAGTCATATCGAAATAATTTGCAAAACTGCAAGAGAACCCTTTTTTTAACATCTGTTAAAAGGGAGTTTTTCCTCTCCACTGTCGCTACAAGCATGCTTAGTGTGAGGGATTGCTGAAGAGTCAATGAGTCGATGCAATCAGCTGGTTTTCCTTAGAGAGAATCAATCTGACTGGATGATCTGGTGACGATGTGAATTCGCGCTATAGAAATAAACTGAACTGAATTAAAAAGACGAAGAAGAAGAGCGGGAGTAGTTAGAGGAAGATGTCGCCCACTAGAGCCGTGGCTGAATTATGGAGATATCTCATGTTTAGATGCACGCTAACATGTTTTCATAATTATTGCGAAAAAGAAATATATTCATGCTAAATTTTAGTTGTATATTCTATTTAATGGAAATAGTGCAGTAGTGACATGGTAGTGATGGGTCAAGCAACGCCGATGCACTAGTGCATGTGTCCATGCACTAAACTCTGTTTATAACCGTATCCGTCAAAAGAAAATTCTGATCTTTTGCAGTTTATCATTAAATTAATCAAGAAATATGAAGCAGCATTAAAGAAAAATAAAGCTTTCAACTGAGTGGGAATGTTTTAATCTCATATTAGCTCAACTTACTGACTCTTAGTTTGCTTTTCTTACTGTAGCTATTTTATATAAATAAATACAAGTCAACAAACATCCTTATTCACGTTTACTTACATTTCCGGTATATGTTCATATTTATGCATCTAAAATATCAAACATATTTTCTAATTGAACTTGCGCAAACCAATTGTCTATATACACCGAAATGAACCATTGTTGTTCTACTTAAAAAAAACACTTTAAATTTTAAAATGGAAGCATTTTTTTAAATATTGTTTATTAAAAAATCAAGGCATAAAAACCTAATTTTATTTCAGTGTTAAATTCTGTTTAAAGTAATAGATCATAATGAAAATGTCAAAATGTCAAATCTGACACAACAGCTCCATCTAGTGGTGGTGGGGATACACTGCTTCCACATATGACAGCTTTTTTTTGTTTGAAACATTAACAGTCTGTAGAACCAGAACCAGTTTGTTTGATCCGCTCCTGTTTCATCGCTGACTGCTTTACATGTTGCTTTTTATTTTTATTTCTTAGTTTGATTAATTCCAATCTTTTTTTTTTAATCTATCTGCTTTATTCTTCAAAGTGCTGCGATGATAACAGGAAATCATTCCTGAAGAGTAAAAACACAGAGAGGGGGGTTTCTACTGTTGCGTCAGAAACTCAGTTTTACTTTTAAAAAAACAAAGAGCGATTTACGATTCAGCAGTTTTTTTTTTTTTTAATTAACCCGTTTATTTAATGAATGTTAACATTTTAAAACTCTTTGGAAAGACAGAAAGTTAAAGATGATGCATCTATCAGAGGATCTGTTTGCTTCATTTCTCCCAGATTCTCCGAATAAACTCAGAGAAAATCAAACAAACTTACCTTCTGTGGAGGAAACCAGCAGGGAGACAAAGGAGAGAAAGAAAAACATATCTGGAAAAACTTTTACTCAGCGATACGACTGCATGCTGCAGAGGAGCTGCTGTAAGACCAGGAGTCATGTGAGCGAGTTTGATGGGGGCGGGGCTTTATGACATCACCTCCGGAACCCTGATTGGACGGCAAAAACGTGTGATTTTTTAAAGAGCTGACGACATATGCACTGTGCCGTGATTGGTTCATAGATTACAGTTGACCCCGCATTGATTGTCGCTGCGCAGGAATTACGGGCGCCATCTTGGGGAGGTCGAGCTGCTCCCCTAACCAGCAGGAGAAGGATAACTGTTACTGTTATGTCTGTGATTAGCACAGCCATGGTCAATAGATGAAAGTAGCACAAAGTAAAATGCCTGGACCTGCAGAATCGATACATTTCCTGACAAATAAGCAAACATCTGTAGCTGGAGTCTATTTATTACCTAATAAACACATTTATTGACCTTCCTATTGGCAGGACGTTTCAGGGAATCCCCTGAAGGCTCGTCAGCAACTGACCAATCAGCGATCGCGGCTCAAACAGCCCTCCCTCCCTCCTTGTCTGTCAACTTCCTCGTGGTTGTGCTTTAAAAAAAAAGAGAAACCATATCGGACATTTAATCAAAACATTAATCTCATAAAAGTTTAAATGTTTTAACAGTTCTGACAAACTTAATCTAAAGAATTTAGAGGGAAGAACATTTAAAAAAAGAAAGGAATTATTGGAGAAGTAAAAGCTGGAAAGGTTGCTGAGTCGCGCTGCATGCTGGGTATTCCAGCCCCGCAGCGGCTCCTGGCTCTCAGTCTATCCGATTCAGGAGCTCAGAGTTCGGCCAGCAGCTCTCTGCTGCTCCCTCCTCTCACAGACGGTGGGTCACTTAGGGACCGTCAACAAATTACCCAAACAAGCACTCTTAAGAAAAATAAATACATTCATTGTCTGTGGCCTGCGGAAGCAAAACCAGTAATAATCCCTCTACATTTTAATTTATTTTAAGTAATTTTCATCATTATGAAAAATATTTTTATTCAAATTTTAGGTTTTTCATCAGTACCTTCTAGGTCATGTGACCTAATGAGTGAAAACTATTCTACTACACTGGGCAGATGAGGCAGGCTGATTTCTGAATCTATTCTCAGTTTTTTAAATATTCTTAGGATATTTTTAATTTTCAAAGCCAACATTTAGCGTTTTTGTCCAGCAGCTTCTTGGTCATGTGACCTACTGTTTAAAAACCTGTGAATAAAATGTTCTACTAGACAGAACAGATGAAGCACACCCTTAATGCTGTCAGAAAAAGTAGTCTTATGTTTGTTTAGCAATATTGTTGCATATTACACTTCCCTCTCCTTTTTACACAGTAATGGACATTTACTTTCTGGTCAAATTAGTTTACCTGCTATTTTAAACTACGCAGCAGAAAGCAAATGATGAAGAAATGTGTTCAGGGCTTCTTATATTCTGACATTTCCCTTAAACTCTGTCAGTTATTCCCATTCATTGACATTTTATTTATAAAAAGCAGAATTACATTGACTTGTATCGATGTCGGTGAAACACTAGCTATCATTGTCCGAAGCACAATATTGAATCCAGAACAACGTTTCCAAGAATTACAACCGCATACTGCACTGTGGGCAAAGCGGGGCAGGGATGCGCACAGATAGACACTAGGTGGCGCTAAAGCATCTGCCCTTTTCTTCTCTGGAAAAAAAAGTGCCCTCCTGAAATCCATTTCAGCTTTTTTCTTTTGTTAGTATTTGGCCCAAAATAGCACTTTACAATTTTAAAAACTTTACCCAACCCAGTCTAGATGTTTGTGATTTTGCTCCATCAGACTCTCAGAAGCTCCGCCTCCATAGAGCGTTGCAGTGGTGAAGGACCTGCTAACTGTCCAGGTTACTAAAAAATCGCATTTACCTCCATCTTTAATGGCGTCTACCAGGTGCCAAGGAACAGTTTAAAATGCAACTATTTGATTAAATTAGAACATTTAGATGTAATTATTTTAATAACAACCACAGCACACAGGTTACAGAAGGCCAAATGATTACAGTTCATAAGTTTATCACCTTAAAATAAGATTATTACATATTATGCACTTGAAATGAGATAGCAGAGTTGTTTATGTTTCATATTTTTAAATGTAAATCTTAGTTCTTCTGCAAATTTTCATATTAACACACTCAAATCAGGAGAAAATAAACGTAAAGATATTCTGGAACCTGGGCTTTATAGTTCTGTATTTCTATGAACCTTTGAAAACTGCCTGAAGAATTTTGAACAAGTGACTCCTATTTATGGAAGATATTTTTGAGTTCAGGCAATAAGGCAATAATGACCCTGGATCTCAGAACTGTCCTGTTCTGAACCGTTTCCCTGACCTGGATCGACCTCCTGCCTGCTGCTGCATCAGGGACACTCTGGGCGGCTCAGCGCTGCATCTCGTTAGTCGTCCATCGGCTGAACCCTGCCTCAACCAGAGAGTGACTCATATGGATAATCATCATCAGTCAGATTATCCTGGTCACTTTCCTGTGTTTCTTTGACAACCAGAGTGCCAGTGATGGGTGTTACCCCGCCTCCCCCCGCAGTCGCTGCATTTCTGCAGATCCACAGCGGCCTGCGTTCTGTTTCTGTCTTTTTTTTTTTTTTTTTCCTCTGTCTGTCATGCCTGAATACTGGGTCCATTCCCCGTTTCATGACACACCCAATAATTGTATTGATGCCAAAAAGAGCCCAACAGATTTTACTTTCACAAGTGGAGCAGTATGGCTATCGCCTTGATTTATGTATATAAATAGCTTTATTATAATTCATGCAGGGAGTATTACAGATTATATGGACACTAGAACAGGAAAGGAAAAACAGAAAAGAAGGAGAAAAGATTAAATACATAGGAGATAAAAGGGTAGATA